CAACACAGTATGGTAAGTGTAAGAGTATAACAAGAAAGAGAAATATCAAGGCAGTAAAACAATTTTCCATCCCTACAATATATTTGTGATACAGAAATAATGCAAGGAAGTCACTACAAGTGTTCAAAATTGTCTTCTCATTCTAGTATTCTCTTTGCATTTTATCCTTTGGAACTAGCCTAGTAGAAATCATATTGTGGCACACACTGATAATATGCATATCAAAGACTCATGCATTTCCTCAAGTGGCTACTTCTTGAAAAAAAATCAAAATTTGCGGGGCTAGTACCTTCTGAAGCAATTAGCAAAGCAATCAGACAATAATATCTTGGAGCCAGACGATTTTTCTATAACATTACTGTATGAAAATACTCCTTGAGAAATCTAATGTATAATTGAACTTTCTATTTTGAAATTGTTCTATCCATATACCAATATAAACAAGAGAAACAAATTAAATTACAGTCAGTCAATCCTATACTTAAAGAGAAATGGACTGCATGAAAGACAAAATTCAAACCAAGCATTTTTAAAGCTTTGTACATACTGTACTATCAAATTTTCTTTGACAAAAACTACCCATATATAGTCATGATGTGCCTATATATGGTCATGATGTGCCTATATAATAATAATAATAATAATTTGGATTTGTAAAGCGCAAAATACATAGGTCTCTATGCGCTAGAAATTTGCAAATTAAAATAAACTAAAGAGATGAGTCTTGAGACGATTTTTTTTTTATATATGGTCATGATGTGCCTATATATGGTCATGATGTGATGTCATCATGACCATATTTAGGCATGTCACATGTTTTTGATAGTCTGGAGAGGGCATTAGATTACTTTACTGGTATTTCCAACCAACATTACTGAATGCCGACAGGATGTGCTTCACAGCAGAAATACTCCAAAGAAGCCATTCATTTTCCTACGCTGAATATCGCTGTGTCCGTTATAAACCATTCTGTCTGAACTAGGTCGTGTGATTCCAGCCGTTGACAGTGTCTATTGTCCTGAGAAAATTTCTCGAACATTATTTAATATGTTTAGTCAATAACTCCAATACTCTACTTATAAAACACCTACACAAAGCCATAAAAATTGGTACTTTCATGAAACTGGCTAGACAACCTTTAACACTGAATAGTACAAAGGTTATAATATAGATATTATGAATTCATGCTTCTAAGAAATTTTTAATTAACAGAGAGAAGCTGAGAAAAATGAATAATGCAATAACTGAGCATGCTAATTTGATAGACCTAGTTCTACTGTAGATGTGACCCAAATTTAAAAAATCTTTTTCTCAACTCTCCATCTCCATCTCCCGAAACACACTTACCCAAATATCATGGGCGTATTCTGTGCTGGAAGGGGGGAGAGGGATGCAGATGCACCCTACTCCCCATGGCATTAAATTTGTTTCATTGAGTTCAAATACTAAAAATGACCATTAAGTTTCATTGGAATATGGATTTAGATCCGCATTCTGAATTCATCCACACCCTAGTTCTGCATTCTCAATTTTAACAAATCACTCCACCCCCACCCCTCCGAGGATAAAACCAGCCTATGCCCCTATTCCATTATAGAAAAAGAGACTGCTACAGTAATCAGTACTATTTTTGAGGAATCTAATTTAGATTCATACACTAATAAATTTGTGAATCATTAAAGTAATATTAAGAACAATCTCATTAACAACCTTAATAAAAAAAAATTAATAATAATAATTTTTGGATGGTGATAATAATATTGATGATGTTGATGATGATGAAGGTTACGGTGATGTTGAAGATGAAGATATTGATGACGATAATGATGGAGACTGTGATAATGATCGTGGTGGTAATAGTGGTGGCAGATGTTGTAGCTTTGATGGTAGTAATGAAGTACTGTAGGTTGTTGCATGAAGACCACAGCACTACCCTATTTATACTCCTATGACCAAGAGTAATGAATATTTACAACGTAATGTTTTAATGTACTGATCTTTAATATGATCTATGAATAATTTGTTTGACTTTTTCTTGTGATAATGTGAAAAAAGTGTTAAAGTTTCACTACAATACACTATGAAAGCAATGATGTAACATATGGTCATAGTTTGATGTCAATTTAACGCTACATTGCACCATCTCATGCATATTAATAAGGAATGTTCCTGTCACAATAAGGCCAGTATAGAATTAACATGTTTTAATCGTACGTTTAACATCATATGAAAATGTCTGTGATGGGATACTAATCCTAGCTCATCACAAATGTACCCTCATAAAACATTTAACATTCACATATCCATGCACACATCATCTGCATGAAATAAACTTGCATAGTCATGTGCATGCATACTCAATTTCCATTATAAATTGTAATCTATTAAAGTACTAAGCCTACAATTCATCATGCATACCTAACGCATAATTGCATATCAATACTCCGTGATAAACCCTCTTACACATTAACACAATACATTCTATATCTACTCTGCTGAAAGAAAAAAATCAGTACATGTACAAAATCGTTAAACACAACAATGTATTCCACACGTTGGGAGGACGATTTACCCAAACTTGTCGCCATCTTAAAATGTTTTCCCTAAAGATATAGATGTACATCAATGCGAATGACTTCTATAATTGCTGTACTTATATTTACCGGCAAGAATCTATGCTGTGGCATTGCAAGGTAGAATGTTTTTATCCAGCAGCTTTTTATCTCGGTGCATAATAAATAAATCACCAAACATCTTAAACTATTATTTCAGCTTCTTTTTTACAATTCATACCCAAACACTGAATAACAAATGCATTGGTGTATTTCCTGAATTTTGTAATAGGAATGACATACAAACATTTCCATTATAAATTATTACCATGAAATCAATGCATATCGAGCCTGGTGAAAATAAAATTTTGAGATGCGAGATGTCAGCAGGTGACAAGCTTTATTGATGATGATCCCAAAAAAACACTTTATTAAGGGAAATGATAAAATCAATTTAAATCACAAAATATATCAGAAAATTATGGAAGACATTTATGATGACGAAAAATTATACTGCAACTACTATTTTGTGCAGTTATGATTTTTTTGTTGTAAATATAGCATTTTCAGTCAAATCTTTTTTTTTTACTGCTGTTGTATGACTTTTTTTTATGAATGTGTAATAAATGCCTTCAATTTAACTTATTTAAATTTATATTTGTAGTGTGACATCAGCAAATGAGAAGTGCTATTGATGATGATGACGACGACGATGATGATGATGTTATAAATGAAATGTTATCAATGCTTGAAAAACAATTCGCTAGATTTAGAATAGTTCTCAAAAATATCAGTTTATTTTAGCATCATGAAGAAAGCTTTTATTATGATTTGTGCTTAAAATTCATTCATTATCTCTCCATAATATAAAAAGTGTATTTTTTAATCCTTTTTTAAGAATTACCAAAATGTACAGATTTTTAGAAAAGTAGCCAAGCTTAACTAGATGTATGATCTCTCTCAAATGTTTTTACCATTATGACAATGACAGATATTTATTATCAAATTGAAAGGATTTTTTTCACAGTAATACAATTTTTATATCCATGAATTTAATTTAATAGGATGTGAAGCACTTTATAAATCATTCTAATCGATGTAGATGGGTGTTCAAAAAAGTATCTTCTACTACTATTAGCCATCTGCTATGGTTTTCTGATAGAGTGAAGTTCATTTATATTAAAAGATATTTTGCATTAGAAAATGCAATTAGAATGATGTTTTGCTAAACCTGATGTGTTATCTTTACTGCTATACCATGGTTACTCTAAAGGTAAACTCAGTAATTCCCCAAATACTTATAAAAAAAATAAAAATTAAAAAATTATTATTATTAATTATGATTTGAGATTTGTTCAGTGAGAGCATGGATGTATCGAGAAAATAAATTTAATATTGAACACACTCCAAAATTCTAAGGTCCCGTTCACACGTAAAGAATATTTTACCAGCCTTGTCAAAATGTGAATGTAAACATCTCCAACTCGTCCTGAAGCTGACCTCGTTTCGGTGACTCTGGTGGTAGTTTTCAGCCAATGACAACAAGTGCAGGTACAATGAAGTAACCGGAGTACCTTGGGAGTAGCGCAAGGCAAGCCTTATAAGTGTAAACGTGTCATAAGAGAAGTTACACTTTTTACACAAATCATATGTTTCATCCTATTACATCATCATGAATTATAGATAATCATGCAGATATCGCTGTAAAAATGATGACCTCTGACACTGGTAAAAATGATGACCTCTGACACTGGTATTATGGCACAGTACCAGTCAGGCTGCTATGGCACAATATACAAAACACAGGTCTCCCTCCAATTAAAGACCACTTTAGGACCTGGGGTTATTTCCATGTTCTTTAGCAGCTATGGTCTCTAATTAGAATAATAAAGACATTTGTTGATTTGGGACCACAGGAAAGTGGTCTTCAACTAGAGGGGTCTTTAATTAGACGGAGACCTGTATATAATTTTTTTTTTTAATGTTTAACTATTTAAGAATTGAACACAGTACAAACTGGTATGTTCGTCATTATGCTGAAATACTAAGCTACTGAACCGAATCCATCAAATATGGAAAGTATAATTACTGATGACTAACGAGGATGATCTCATTAAAGATGTACACTAATGAGTTGAAACTAGAAATACGATGTTGCAGATCTATGCAAAGATAACAATAACATAATGTTACAAAAACATTAGCATGCTTGTTTCTATGCCACTATAGCCTGAGAACACGTATTATTCAAATTAGACTGTTTGCTTATCGGCATTTAGCTTGTATATAGCAACCATCTGTCGTGAATAGAAAGAGAGGGAATCAATAGTCGAGCATTTTCGCCGCCAATACAACCATAATTCTAAACTATTACAGGCTCGAGGCAAACACTTCAATATCATTTAATAACATAAGTATTCAAGGACATTCAAAACCAAGGACACTATATGTGGCAAAGACAAGGCAAAGAAGTCACTCTTCGCAAAAAAAAAGAACTATTTTTAGTTAATAATACAGGGTTAAACAGTACAATGAAAGTTATAAAATGGTAAAAGAATCATTTAAATCCGACATTTCGTTATGAGGTTACAGGAGTTTAAACATACAGCTGTTTAAAGAACAGTATTTGAGAAATCAGAGTTCAAAGTTTACGATTTTGGGCATTTCTCAGGCTTGTTTTGGCCACTATCTCCAAAACACGATTTGCGAGGAGTGACTGGTTTTGCTTGTCTTTGCCACATGTATTTTCATAAACAAAAAGAGAAAAATTATAATTAGGTTTTTTGGAAAATTATAATATCTAAAATGAATTTAGATCTTAAACTGTGAAAACCTTATTATGCCTCCATTAAATAATAATAATAGAAAGAAAATAAAATTTACATCGATTATGCATTTATTGGTAATTTACTCACATGAATAATTCATGCAATATGCGATACCAATTTGTTATTGGCAACGGCGATGACAGATAAACTGTATATGGATGAGCATTGCAGAAAGGTTTTTCACACTAGAAACCTTAAATATGTACGATATTTGAATAATTCCAGCCGTTCACTGTTAATATGTCCCTATGGACTATTAAGCTGTACAGCGCTTATCTAGCCATCAAGGCCATCCTGTTTCAAACATTCCCGAAACTCCGCTACAGAATTCGCAATCACTCGGCATAATGTCTGTTAGTCTAAATCTTTTAATTAATGCAAATTACGCTGGCAGTCCACTTAAGGGGGTGTTGTAGACACGTGACATGTTTGCTTCCAATATACGACGAGATGATCAATAACATATGTTACTAGGCATCTCGAGTGTTTAAACAATAATTAAAACCTTCACAAATTTGTCTCCCACAAAAATTTCTGAAACAGCTTTAATGCCAGTTTCCTATTTAACAGCCAAACATACTTTGATCATTATATTTATATATGAAATGACTACGCTGTATAATGTATTCATGTATTCTGTATAAGTAGGTTATAGTATCTTTATATGTATGTGTTAGTATGCTAGCATTTTATGGTATAAATGTTAGGAGCTTTGAACAACTAATGTAACTTTCGAGAGGACAAATAAATTTGATTCTGATTAGATGGTTCATGAATAAACTATTTTTCATCTTTATCTAATGTTATGATAAAAAAAAAATTAAAATAATTAATGGTATTAGTAATAATTATAAATCATTTTATAAGCAAAATTATTACTAATTTGATACAAGGTGCTAAAGGTAGACAATAAATGAATATTAAAATATATAGAAATAAACATAATAAACTAAAGAAAAAAACTAGGAGGTTATTTCTACATTTTAATAAGATTTAAGAAATCACTAAGAACTTGCTTTTGCTTTTCCTTTGATAGTATATTCAAAAACGCAGTGGTAAAAATTATTTATCTAATTTTAGAACAGATGAAATAACATCAACACTACATTCTCATTTATAAAATATTATAAAGAAATCAAAGCGTATTCAACCAAAGAAGTTAATACCTCCCTGACCAAACCAGGTGGGAAGAATAGTGAGATGTGCAATGTCAGGAGATATTAATGTTGTAAAACTTACAAAAGTTATTACTGTAATGTTATGATGTTTGAAAATAATTCCCAGATTTAGAATAGTTCTCAAAATCTCAGTATATATCACCAGCTAAGAGAGTTATTATTAATGATAATGTCAATTACTGTCAATAATAATAATAATAGATTTAATGTAACTAAATCATTGGGATAATCACTCTCAATTCCTATCTCTATACATTGTAAAAATACCAAAACACTTAACTAGTCTTAGAAAATAGCTTCTAGATCTATTGGAATCCTGATAAAGAATCGAGGTATTTTGAAAATAGGGTGATAGGAGAGGGGCAGGGAAACTAAATTTTCAGAAAAGAGTTATGAGGTAACAATCAGCCATTACTCCCCTGTTTTTTCATAAAATTATGTGATCAACTTGATATAAATTTAAATATCAATGCGCAACGAAGCTTACAGCTATTAATAATGCACTATTAATGTTCTTCAGCTACTGCATTATCAGATTAACTCCAGCACCTTAAGGATGCTATGATCCTATATTAATAGATTTCATAAAGTATTTTATATCTTTGAAAAATTATTATTAGCATTTGAAAGTAAGCCTTAATGGTTATTAATAATATATTCAACTCAGATGAAGAAAGAATGTAAAGTGATATATTAAGGATCATCATCGTTATCATCACCAACAAGATAACAACATTTTACGACTACGCAGAAATTCCAGGGATAGAAATACATGGAAAAAATTTATCCAAGAAATATGCTAGAAGGATGAGACAGAAAGGTTGTGCAACTACTCAGCATAAGAGTAATTGATTGATTGATTAATGGAGATAACGGTAAGTAATTATCATGATATGGAACAAAGATAATCAATGAGAAACGCAAGATGGAAAATTATGAGATGGCTGCAAATTAAAAAAATATTTTGAATTACATTGCAGTTATTTCTGTAACCAGTATATATTGTGAACTTCATTTGTTGCTGCTTATGTTGTAGTGTATTAGTAAATGCGACATAAAGTAGGCCTAGATTTTTGTATTGAAAATGAATCAAATGATAAAAAAATAAATAAATAAACAAACATAGGGAATCAATGATAAAAACAAAATGGCTGCCACTTATGGTTGATCATCATTGAATTTATATAATATTTATTGTATTTTCAATTGTATTCCTTTAACATTATACTTTCATTTTGCATAGAATGGGAATGATAATTAGTACCTTACACTAGAGGATCTACTAAAGTAATCTTAGATGATAATATATGGTGACAGACTGTAAGTATAGACTTTGCTCTATGGTATAGACAGAGCAAAACTTCGCTCTATGGTTTAGATAATGCTTTTGTGAGAGATTCAATATTCAACTCTATATTTGATTATTATTAAGCAACATATTATCACTACCTTATTTTTATTTCTGTAATTAGTAACTGATACTAAAACAACTGATTATTAATGCAACATTATAATAATTATTATATATTATTACTGATGAAAAATTGATAAAATTATTTACATGTCCCTTTAATCTAAAAAAACATTATTTTTTACATGAGTGTCCCTTTAGGAAAGTATAGTACATACTCCAAGTATCGAAATACACGCCATCGTGTTGGGATTCAATATTTCGACATTAATTATGTCATCATCAGGAATGAAAAAATTATCCATATTAGCAAGCTTATATGCACTAGTACCAAAAGTAAACCAATCAAAACATTACCTCTAGTAGGTAACATAAAAGTGATTTAAACAAAAGATCAAAGCATTCTTACTCTAATGATCAAAGCTACCTACAAAAACAAAGAAAGCTCTTTTGAAGCTCTGAGCCCATTGTTAAGCAAAGGGTGTACTCTACGTATAGCGAACGCTTCTTTAAACTATAGGATAGACCCGTTTCGGGAGCTGTCAATAATGTTAGTACTAGAAAATATTAAACCTAATTTATTACTTACATTACAGATGACATTATCATTTTCAAGTATACCCTGTAATCCTAAAACATATTGGAATGCCTCACAGTTTTTAACATGATCAAATAAAACACTATCAAGATCGTGAAGAATGTTCTTTAAGTCTAGTTATTAAGCACCTAACTGTCTTACCAATATAATCACTATTACAGCCTGAACATTTAAAATGATAGACAACAGAACTTCTGTACTCCTTAGGGGTTAGATCCTTAGTAGATATAAAATGAGAAACATTTTTATACTGCCATAAAGTTATGAATTTTACCTCTTTAATTAAGTGTTTCTTTACCTTATTTAAACATCTACGTAAAATAAAGTGTCCCTTTAATCTATAAAAAATTTTATTCTAACAATATTAACAAAAAGACTGACTACCTCTTTAAGATTAGAAGGTGATTGATGACATACGTAAGGACTAGTCTCTTGACCAACATAAAAAAAAAAAAACTACAATGCATTTGGGAGAGAATCTAGATACACTTTACTACATGGATTGAAAAAAACCAAATTAATACGTGAAACAAAAACCATGAGTCCAGTAAATGGAAATGCTAAAAGATGAAAAAATAACCTATAATTTATTTATTCCATCTGCGACAGAAAGAGATTTATGCAGGTTTGGGGGTAAGATGAAAATGTCGAACCAAGGCAGTGGAAAATGAAAGAACTAATAAGGATGAAAAAGTAATAGACAGAATGGTAAGGAACAAAAAAATAATAGGCTGACAAACTTACTGTTATGACTTGATAACACGGGAGTAAATTGTCTCTGCGTCTGCTGTGTTCCGTTCTCAAAGAACAATTTAATGAGCTCAGTAAGGAATTGATCTGCAGCATTTACATAGGGAGTCATGCATATCTAATGGATTAGGGCCAATCAGATGAGAGTATTTTACAGAGTCCTTTTCTACTTCAGGGAGAAGAAGTAATTTGTGTGACATTGCAAGTGAAAAATCAATAGATGGTTATAATACAACCACAGGAGAAATACAATAATAGTACATGATATAGACTAAAGAAATTTGGGTAAAAAAAAAACAATGAATTCTCTAAAAAAGTTGCTGTTGTAATTAAGATTTTAATATTCATACAGTGAGTAAACCCTTAGGAATTAATCCTCTCTTAACAATATAAGTTAATTTTAAGCAATGAAAGAATGTAATGAATCAATAATTACAATTTAAATTTCCAAATATTCAAGGATAAAAAATATGGAATTAAATTTGAATTTGAATTACAGAATATATGGGAATATATTTTGTGTGGTTATTCTTCAGACAAAATAATTTTGCCATCTTCCCTAGTGGAGAAAATGTTCGCTGAAATATGTCTTTTTATAACTATATGATATTGCATTAGAAAAAAAATCAATAACTCATTCTAAAATTCTATTATTAACTATTTTTAGTTTTATAGAAGCAATTGTTTGTTCTCCTCTTAATGTTTTATTCAACTGCACAGTACCAATTACGAAAATTAGTATTTGACTGAAGTGTACAAAATAACATAAATGATATTAACATTGTTTTTTACTATTGTCATAATAACAATGTTAAAAATCAAACTATAAAAAAAACATATAGTCTATAATTTCTAACTAAAATATCTTACAATAAATCATTAATGGTATTTTAAAGCAAAATTTTCTGTATCTCTAAGATAATTACTATCCAACAATCTGTGGATCCGTATGAAAATGGAAAAGATGTTTTAAAATTACAAAAGCAATAATCAATAATAATATTACACAATCTATCTTTTCGAACGTAGCCCAAGAAAAAACAAATTGAGCCACATGAAAACAAGATGTTTTGATATAATATTTTGCGTTCTTGTGGGAGTTTAGGGATCTCGGAAGACTTGGGAGCCTCATTTAACCTTCATAGTCTGTAACGAGCACAAATGTAATAATAACAGTTTTATTACATTCTACTCTGGGAAATTCCATTCAACTGTTGACAGAAAACAAAATTAAATGCTAACATAAAATGTACACTGCATGAGAGAGCTTAATAAATGTTCGCCTGCAGACAAGACAAAAATGTTTACACATCCTCAAAATTTTTTTTATAGAGAAATATGTGAAGATAGGTATCCATACTAGTTTAACATTGCGTGTTAGATTCTTTTTTTTTTTACGATAATGTACAATGACCAAAATGTATGCAAGTCAGCTAACATAACACACTATACATTACACGGTGTACTCGCACTTGTTAAATACATTTTGCTCGTTGAGTTTTAAGAAACTGTCCAAGATTATTAATGACCCGTTAAATGATCATCTACAGCTTTGGTCTAGTCTGCCCAGCAACATGCAACTTGAGAAGAGCGAATGATATATGATGCATAAAGGATGTAACATGCTTTACAAAATCATATTAAAAACATCTTGCAGACATATTTACTGTGAGCCAAGTTGAGTTCCACATTATGCAGCTAAAATCTGGCAAACCATGTGAAGTAATTTCATTGGATGGATGATATATCTGAATGTGTGAGTATGTTGTTCTACTTGAAGGACAGGTGCTATCAGGGAAATTTGGGCCACTTTAAGCTGTTGCAAATGTTTTAGAGTGTATTACTGTATACCAAAATGTAAATGAGATTGGTTCTGGCAAAACCAGCTGTTGAGTTTTTGGTAGATTTTGCATGAATTCTTTAAAACAGTGTTTATTTGATGGAAATTGGTTGAGTATTAGCGAAGTTATGAATATTTAATTAATTGGAAATCGGCCGTGTAGGTTTTGAGAAAACAGCTACCAAAAATTCCAAAATCAGTAGTTTATTGTTAAGATTTGTATTTAAAAATAATTTTAATATAATTTTCAGTTAGATTTAGTGACTGATATTTTGCAGAAATTATCTTCAATATATCTTATATTATAAAAACAATATGAAATCCTGAAAATGTTCAAAATTCTTGAACGTTCTTGGTGCTTGTGCGAAATTACGACAAACAGAGCGTTTTGACAGAGCCGGTGACTAATATTTTCCCTTTCTGTGTGTATTGTAGACAACGTATGGCGTGTTGACCTGTCAAACCAAGAGATTCAGCCCCCTGCACCGCTGCTGGCACTGTTACTGGTCATATGCTAGTTTTGGTGTTGAAAATATTCAGATAGAGGGCAGTGCAAAGCAAAGTTGTCAAGACTCACCCATTATATGATAAAAATATATATTTTTTTTTGTCATCGGCATTCAAATTTACCGATGCCCTAAACAACCATTAAAATTGCCACATTACACCTGTATGACAATTGTAACGAGGCTTTAATCTGACAATATATACAATAATTAATAGATTACTTGTTAATTTCCTGGTTGGTTAACCATCAACCCACGCACACTAAGATGTTGAAATTATATGGCAACTTGATTGCATGTGTGAATACCTAATAGAAATCACTTCTTTTGTACTTTAGCAATATTACACAGTCTGGCACGCCAGGATGTAGTCAGGATTGGTTTCTTTGTGCCCGATAGCATGCACTGACCGTATAACATAAAAGAAACTCAAGTACTGCACAAAAAAAAACACCAGATTTTTACAAGAGATTCACTATCATTTTAATGAAGCTCAATTACTGAGTAATATCTCACGGCAATTCATAGTCATTTATTATCTTGTCCAATAAACAAGATAAATATAATGCAATAAAATTAAAATATAAAAATTTCATGACATTATCTTTAATGCCTATTCATTTTTAAAAACTATTAATAATTTAAAGATAGTTTATCACCTAATTTTAGAATAAAAAACTTTAAAAAATAATAATTATTAGTAAAGTATAACCATTATTCATCTTAATTCATTGCTTGTCTTAGATTACAATATGAATATAAGTGTATCCAAGATGAAAGGTATTAATTCCTATACTGTATTATTATTATCTAATTTTACTACTATTATTATTATTATTATAACCAGTATTATTATTATCTATATGAATTTTTTTTTTTTATGTTTTCAATTTGAATTTTATACCTTGTGATTTTATATTTTAGATGTTTATTTTTTCAATTTTGGCCTGTAAATGGGAACAAACCGTTCTTGTTGGACAACTGTTTCAAATAAATAAAAATAAACGGTATCTTTATTTCGAAAATATCAAACATACAAAGAAATATCATTCAATGGCAGCCAAAAAAATTACAACAGCAATTTTCCTCGATTACCTTAATTTGTATTTTATTGGCTTTTCAAATGAAAGTCAGAATGAGAGAATGAAATATTCGTTGCTAAATTACAGTCACTGAAATAATACCATTCCTAGCCTTTCCAAACATACATTTCTATATTCAAATTTAAGGATTTTGAAATTAAAATGGTTGAAAACCAATAAAAAAATAAATAAATTTCTAAACTTGTGTGACACTTTTAAATAAAAAAATATAAAATGTTTAGTTAACATTTTGAGGAATTGTATTTTTGGGAAGGTATACAAAGATACAGTAAACATTGAAATTCTCCCTACGTGTAAAAAAGAGTTCTAAGTTATATTATCGAGGTGTTCCAAATTTCTCGGGACAACCTCCCAAACTTCCACAAGCAAGCAAGAATCTCTTGGAAAATAACCCATTTCCCAATTTCATAATTGCTTCAACTACATTATTATCAACTGTCTCACGGAAGTCAGTGTCAATAGGGGGCAGGGGGCTAAGCCCCCCATCGGTCTGGTCAAGCCCCACCCCCCCTCCATTGGCCAAAGCTCATCGGGCAGTTGGACCAAAAAAAAATAGGCCTAGTTTTCCCATCCCAGTAACTGCCTATGCCAAGCAAAATCTGTCTCAGCAATCTTCGTCTGGGTCTGATCAGTCAAGCAGAACACCTAGAAGTCCCAATTTTTTTTTAAATCTTGTTTTGGGAGGAGGGGACACCCCCTTCCATATCCACTCCCCCCCCCCCATATGACAGGGTATTTATAATATTTAGGAATTTAGTGTCAAATGTCATTAATTGGTCTTTTCCAGTTTAAAACCAAACATCTTTCTCCCTGACACATTTCAAAATGCTACTATTGGCAAATTTTCAACATGATTTTTATTGAGTTAAAATTTACTAAGATTGATCTGACTAGGTTCATGTTCTATTGAACATTATATTTCTTTTCTGTTTTTATTTTTCTTAATAATGTGTTTAACATTTGAAGCTGCAGCTTCCCCCAACCCTACTTAATTTCACCATGTCTAATCCCTAGAACATAGCCATGTATATCATTATGTTATTACATTGCCTTGGGGACAACAGGGTCAAATAATCGACATAAATACATCTTAAGCGCTACATAAATATTCATTACTTTTAGTCTACAGACTGCAAGTTACATGTTGTGATCTTTCTTCATCACATACTCTTAAAATGTTACTGCTTTTAGTAATCCGCTTTTCGAATATTGTTTTTGTGTCTAGTCAAAATGTCGTTTTCAAAGGCAAAAAACCACCGTGTAATGTTCATCTAGAGCGAGTCGCACACTGCCCTGACCTGGACAACTAATCAATCTCCGATTTGTGAGAATGCTTGACAACATGACGTCGTCGTCTGCTGAACCTGTCAGACTGCTACTGACAATCAGGAGATGACGTCGTGCCCTCAAGCACACACACTGAACAGAGATGGAGTCATAGGCCAAAAGTATGACTGATTTCGTCAGCCGTCAGCAGCTAAAGCCCCTGTCACACTGTAGCATATAGAACCAACGTATGCCGACGTTTATCAAAATATTGGTTTACGTTCGCGTAAGTTGACATTCGCTCGTGACACGTTCGTAATACGTTTGGCATACGTTGTATTCGTTAGCTGTTCGTTGGGTACGCTGGGGTCGATTTTAATTTTTGGACATGTTCAAAATTTTGAACGTATGACAACGTTCTGCTA